ATTTGTATCCTTACAGCAATTTTTTTTTCTATTCACTTTGTGAATGTGGGTGTCACTGGCTGGCCAGCATTTCTTGCCCATCCCTAGTTGCCCTTGAGAAGGTGGTGGTGAGCTGCCTCTTGAACCGTTGCATTCCTCCTGCCGTGGGTTGACCCACAATGCTATTAGGGACAGAATTCCAGGTTTTTGACCCAGCAACAGTGAAGGAGCGGCGATATATTTCCCAGTCAGGGTGGTGAGTGACTTGGAGGGGAACTTGAAGGTGGTGGTGTTTCCACTTATCTGCTGCCCTTGTCCTTCTAGATGGAAGTGGCCGTGGGTTTCGAAGGTGCTGTCTGAGGATCTTTGGTGAATTTCTGCACTGCAGCTTGTAAATAGTACACACTGCTACTACTGAGTGTCGATGGTGGAGGGATTGAATGCTTGTGGATGTAGTGTCAATCAAGTGGGCTGCTTTGTCCTGGATGGTGTCAAGTTTCTTGAGTGTTGCACTCGTCCAGGCAAGTGGGGAGTATTCCATCACACTCCTGACTTGTGCCTTGTAGATGGTGGACAGGCTTTGAGGAGTCAGGAGACGAGTTACTTGCTGCAGTATTCCCAGCTTCTGGCCTGCTCTTGTAGCCATTCTGTTAATGTGGCGAGTCCAGTTGAGTTTCTGGTCAATGGTAACCCCCAGGATATTGATAGTGGGGGAATTCAGTGATGGTAACACCATTGCATGTCAAGGGGTGGTGGTTAGATTGTCTCTTATTGGTGATGGTCATAGCCTGGCATTTGTGTGGCGCGAGTGTCACTTGCCACTTGTCAATATTTATAGGGGATAGGGAAAATAGAGAAAGTTGTGGTATTGTACTGGGGACTGTTCTTAAAAGAAAACACAAGCCCCTGAAGACATTAGTAAGAAAATCCGTTTTAAGCTGCATCACAACCAGCTTGTAAAGATACATACCTTTTGCTGTGTTGATGAAATATGGTGAGATGTAACCTCTATCAAACTTCATTCCTTCAATGATTTCGAGCTCATCATGGAGTGTTTTGCCATCCTTTTTACACAAAATGTAACAAGAAAACCATTATACAATACACTTATCAATAAAAAGCAGGAAGCAAAGAAATTCAACTTTTATCCTTTGTACTTACCTTGACTGTGATGACACCATTCCGTCCAACCTTTTTCATTGCATCAGAGATGAGTTCACCAATTTCTTTATCTCCATTGGCTGAAATAGTTGCTACCTGTAATAAAAGAAAATAAATTTTTCCTAAGAAGACTAGGTTAGCTCAGTTACAGAAGGATTCAAGTGACACAGTCATGCTGTACGACAGCTATCAATGGCTACAAGTACAAAAAGAGGGAGAAAGGGAAACTTTCTGGTATACATTAATATATGTCAACTTAAAATCCTCCATTTTATACAAAATAATCTGCTTTCAATTTTGCCATTCCATGTCATGGCCATGGCTATTATTTTACAATTGTGAATAACCCTTATTGCATAGGATACTACAACCAGAGCCTGGGAATTATATTAAATAGCCAATATTGATCACACAAATCAATACGAACAAATCATCTAGTCATGATCACATTGTTTGTTTGTCAGTACTGTGCACATACTGGCCATTTCTTACACTGCAGTGACCAACACCAGATGTATGACAATAGTTATAAAACACCCAATGATTGCAAAAACCCCAAATAAATGCAAAGTCATGGTTTTGGATCTCAACTGCAGTTACGAGCTGAAATTTTGGGGTTCAGCTCTACCAAACAACGGCCATCAGTTTTCGCTCATATTCTGTCCCCTACCGTCATAGGTCTTTCCTGACACTCCTCTTTCACAGGCCCCTCTTCCATTCTCAATTTGAAATGGTCACAGTAGATCACCGACAAGTAGACAATTTCACTTAAATTATCTGTGCCATGTTACAATTTTTCTGAATGCCTTCTTCCGTTTGGGTGTCTCTAATAGATGAAACAGTTACCTATATATCTAAGCAGAATGTTTAGATATTGAAGACACCATTGACTTATAGAACAACCAAAACAATTACATCTTAATTCTTGTGGACAGTAACTTTTGAATTGTGTTTTATAGCACAAGTACCTGAGCAATTTCTTCAGGCGTTGTAACTGGTTTGGACATTTTCTTCAGCTCACCAATTACTGTATCAACGGCCAGCATGACACCTACAAAAGGAAGTTAATTTTGACAGGTATATTAATGTCAGTGATTTTACAATGTATTTACAATTTATTAAAATAACTAGTTCACAAGTATGTTGGAAAGTTTTAAAAAAATTGCAAATCTGCTAACGTATACTCCATGTTTCAATTTGTAGTTTTACCTAGGACTGGACTTTTAAAAAAAAAAAGACACTGGACATTAAAATAGACTATGGGAAAGTTGCCTATTAAATCATTTAGAAGTACCATGATAACCAATAGAGGATTAGCATGCAACAAAACTGATCAAATTATACAAATTGTCTTTAAGTAACTGAGGACCCATTACTATTTTTCATACCAAAAAAAGGTAGACTTTTTTTTGGGGATCTCAGTACCTCCTACAAGTCTTAATTAACCATGACAGCCTGGGTATGACTGTGATTCCAGACTTTGTCCTTACACATTTGCAGTTTATCAAAAATCCATTTATTTGTTGTCAAATAATGACATTTCAGAAAATGTCCTCTTGGAAAGGTGGATCATACTTTAGCGAGTTTTAAATTTTTTGCAATTAAAAATGTTTACTTATTTTATTCTTTACACTCAATTTAAGTTAAGCGATATTTAAAACTAAAAATTCATGATTTACAAAGCTTAACTCAAAAGATACTTGTCTTTATTGCAACATATTTATGCATAAATCTAGGAATGAAGTCCATTGTAAAGCTGATTTTTAAGTATCAAAAAGAATTCCAAGCTGTTCCAACAGGAAGTGCATGGAATTTTGTAGTATCCCATTCTGGTCACTTGATGGTGCTGCACAGAAAATTTATTTCTCCTAACAGCATGACTCTAATTTCTGCTCTAATTTGTTTAATATGGTTAAAATAAAAGCCAAAACATTTATGACTGATACAAGATTTTACAGAAAAATGTCCCCTGCATACTCTGTAGCTTAGTTAAATCTATAACATTTTGGGAGGTAGTGAATGCTCAATCCGGCAAGTAAATACAATAGATTTAAACATTAGTAAATTTTAACAAAGATTCCAAATAAACTCCAAACAATAGAATCCCTACAGTGGGAAAGAATTCAGTCCATCAAGTCTGCACCAATCCCCTAAGCAACATCCCACCCAGATCCACCTGACCTTTCTAACACTGCATTCCCATGGCTAATCCACATAACCTGCTCATCTCTGGACAGTATGGGGCAATTTAGCACGGCCAATTCACTTAACCCGCACATCTTTCAACTGTGGGAGGAAACCAGAGCACAGCAGAAACCCATGCTGACATAGGGAGAACATGCAAACTCCACATGGCTGTTGTCTAAGGCTGGACTCAAACCTGGGTCTTTGGTGCTTTGATGCTAACAGAATGTTTGCAGCATATTTCTTATGATTGGTGCAGATCACTCAGAAGAGGAAGAATGTAGCACAGTGATAGTTTCAACACCTAATACCAAATCATTGTAAAGCAGCAATTAAAATCAAATGCGCTAAGTTGAATTGCAGTGGAGGCTCACTAAATAAGGAGATGTCATATTAAAGTGGCACAGTATCCTGTGCGATTCTTAGGTCAAATTGAGCAGCTACTCAAGTCATGAATAAAAGCATTCAAGCCATGGAGGTGGCACAAAGAGCCACTAAGTTGAATCCTAGTGTCAAAAGGTTCAATTTACAGGAAAAATTGTGAAGGACATGGGCTCTTAACGATAAGATTATCGAGATGGCAGTTAGGGGTTTGAGGTGGGATGAAGGAGGAACAAAAGGAATGCAGACATTTTATCCTGAACAAACAGATTTCTAAAGCTATATTGATCTTGTCGAGTATGGCCACACGCTCATTCAACTTAGAGGAACGCTAATGTCACCTGGAAGCCCCGATGGTGAAAGTTAAAATGCCTATGGTACTGTATTAACAACAGCAATTTCTCTCAATTGCTCATCTTATGGTACCTTCTTTTCTTTCTCTTTTCTTTCAGATCTTCCCGGAGTTGTACGGGGTTCCAATAATGCCAGTTAATCACCCTCAACCACATATGGATTTAGTGGGTGGTTTTTAAATAGCTGTATAATGTTCCTGTCACTAAACTTCAAATTTATCCAGGTTGGGGACTATCACTAATGCATCTTGCCTCTGCCACACCAGTTGCTGACTTAACTAAATGCCGACATATATATTAAAAAAAAAAATGGAACAATTCTTTGTTTCACTGGAGTTTAGGGCATATTGTTGAATTAAGCACAGCAATTCAGAGAGAAATGGTCATATTAAATACAAATTTTACTCTGCAACATTAATAGACAATATTTACACACAAGTAATGGCAATCTACCATTTGGCAAATGCATACTTTGCTAAAGTCATTGTTATCGTAACATTGGTATTTAATACAAAAATCAAAAACTAACCTCGTCTTATCTCCACTGGATTAGCTCCTTTACTGATCTTTTCAAATCCTTCTTTAGCGATGGCTCTGGCAAGAACTGTTGCTGTGGTCGTTCCATCGCCTGCCTCTTCATTTGTGTTGTTGGCAACATCTTGTACCAGCTTAGCACCAATATTTTGGTACTTATCTTTCAAATCTATGGCTTTAGCTACTGTTACTCCATCTTTTGTCACTTTAGGACTCCCCCAACTCTGTTCTAGAATAACTGTTCGACCCTAGATAAAAACAAACATTGAGCCATTGCTGTTAGTTATACACATACTAGAATTTGTCATTATTTTGTTGTCCTAATACCACAGAGACAGCAACATGTGCAGTTGCACTGTATGGTTTCAGACACCTTCAGCCTTCCCAGGCCTTGCAAAAATGAGCAAGTCTTAACTAAAAGTGACTTTGAAGTGCTTACTTCCCAATCACCAAATCACTAACTGGTTGAAAGCAACAGTGGAGAAAAAAAGTACGCACTCACTCTGGAAAAAAAAATAGGTCTGATCTGTATACAATCAATAAAGCCCGTTACAAACACACTAGTTTCTAAGTAATGGAATGCTTTCAGATAAACATGGTGCTGAAATCCATCATAGCTTGGGATACCCTGGCCATTTTTCAAGAAAACGAATGAGATTTGACTACAAACTCACCTTAAAAAAAAGGTTAACTGCTCAAGGCAATCTCATTGGTCATGATCAGATGAAAAAGCGATTAACACGAAAGATGGCAAGTGATTTGTCTTCAAGGTAAATGAAATATTCCTAAGGCATTTCACAGGAATGTTGCCAAACAAAGATGAGCCACAGAAGGAGATATCATGTCAGATGTCCAAAGGCTCAATTGAAAGTATAGGTTTTAATAATAATCTTAAAAGGTGGAAAGTGAAGTAGAGAAGCAGAGGGGTTTAGGAAGAGAATTCATGGTTTTGGGGACTGAGGTAACAAGGCACAACCACTGGTCAAGCAACTGTAATTGAGAGATACAGCAGTATTTTACAAAAGGTGGTGATGTCAAAGGGTGAGGAGTGATTTCAGAGGAGAACAACACCCAAAGAAAAATATTACAATATTAGCTAATATTGGAGGCCTGGAGAGAAAAGTGGGTGATCAGTTTTTAGAAATAGGATTCAGATTATAAAGAAGATAGATCTCATTTACAAAATGTCATAAACAAATAGGGCAACTAGAAAAACCATTTAGGGCCAAGACACAGAGGAAACACGGAAGGATGTTTCATCAGATGTCAAGGTAAAATCGCCGTAGTCTTAACTAGATCATAGGGCTGCTCTCGTGACAGACAGGGATGACTGAAGAGTTTAACCCAAGGGTCACAATGCAAGGGGAGAAATTGATGAGTCTAACCTTGGCCACTGCAGAATTGAACACATGCTGTTGGCACTCTGCACTGCAAATTAACATCCAGCCAACTGAGGCAAGGGACATGACAAAAGCAGCTGATTAAGTTCTGTCAATCTTATTGGTAAAGAAGTCCACACGCTTCTCACACTCAGATGAGAGATGGAGACGGGGAAAGACAGATGCAAGAAAACGGTGTGTGAGAGAAAAGGCACAGGATGTTATCTTTGTATTCTAGGACGAAACTGCTATAGTGAACACTTATCAGCTAAGAGTTTTTATCCAGCCAGATCTGGTGGTGGCAGGTCTTATCCAGGGAAAAGCCTGGATGAGAGCTAGAGATTAATTGTTGGAGACTAGAATGCACACAAATTTACAATCCCAATACCAATTCAACACGCAATTTAAAAACTGAACAGAATCAATAATTTTAATAAAAACATTCTACTTTAGACAGTAATACATGAAAGAGTTCGAGTGTGCAATTGAATAGATCAATAAGTCAGTAACTGGAGAAATATTATGGCAAATGGAATGGTCAAAGGCTGGATAGGATCCTAAATCACCTTTTCACTGTCTTGGCTGGCATCAAATGTTTACAAGAATTATTGCATGCTACTACCAATGAATGACTATTTTAGTGTCCAGTAAATCCATGTGGACCTTCTAAAGGCTAGTATAATGAAGCTGCACCCAAACCAATGAGCATAGTACATACCATCTTAATGGGTATATAACTAGACGACAGAAAATCTCAATTAATCCGACTGCCCTGGCTGACCCATTGTCTCTGCCTGCTCCTGCCCCACCAAACTTATCTCCATTTATCATGACTATTTTCTTCCCCCAGTCCAGGAACTCCCCACCTCCGTCTGGGACGCCACCCATGCCCTCCACCTCCTCCAAAACTTCCGATTCCCTGGCATCTAACACCTCATCTTCATTATGGACATCCAATCCCTGTACACTTGCATTCCCCATGCAGATGGCCTAAAGGCTTCTGCCTGTCCCGCAGGCCCAACTAGTTTCCCTCCAGCAACACCCTTATCCGCCTAACTGAACTCGTCCTTACCCTTAACAACTTCTCCTTCAACTCCTCCCACTTCCTACAGACGAAAGGGATGGCCATGGGTACCTGCATGGGCCCAAGCTATGCCTGCCTCTTTGTAGGATACGTGGAACAATCCCTCTTCCGCAGCTACACTGGCACTAAGCCCCACCTCTTCCACCGTTACATCGATGACTGTATCGGTGCCGCCTCATGCTCCCACGAGGAGCTCGAACAGTTCATCAGCTTTACTAACACCTTTCACCCCAACCTTAAGTTCACCTGGACCATCTCCGATACCTCTCTCTCCTTCCTGGATCTCGCTGTCTCCATCTCTGGTAACCACCTTGAAACTGATAGATTTCAAGCCCACCGACTCCCACAACTACCTAGACTACAACTCCTCTCACCCACCTTCCTGCAAGAATGCAATCCCCTATTCCCAATTCCTCCGCCTCCATCCCCAAGATGAGGCGTTCCACTCCTGAACATCCCAGATGTCCTCATTTTTCCAAGGACTGCAATCACTGCCCCCCCACCAAAAGTGGTCGAAAATGCCCTCTCACCGCATTTCTTGTGTTTCCCTCACCTCAGTCCTCACATCCTCTCTCTGCAATAAAAACAAAGACAGAATTCCCCTTATCCTCACGTATCACCCCACTATCCTCCAGATTCAACGCATCATTCTCCGTCACCTGCAATCTGACCCCACCACGAAGGATATATTTCCCTCCCCACTCTTATCTGCCTTCCGGAGGGACCGCTCTCTCTGCGACTTCCTCGTCCACTCCACATTCACCACTAGCCCCACCACCCCCGGCACCTTTCCCTGCAACCGTAGGAGGTGCTACACTTGGCCCTACACCTTCCCCCTCACCTCCATCCCAGGCCCCAAAAAACCCTCCACAATAAACAGATGTTCACCTGCACATCCGCTAATGTGATCTATTGTATTCGCTGTTCTCGATGTGGCCTCTCTCTACATCGGTGAGACCAAGCGGAGGCTTAGAGACTGCTGTGGAGCACCTACGCTCGGTTCGCGACAAATGACAACACCTTCCAGTCGCGAACCACTTCAACTCTCCCTCCCACTCCCTGGACGACACGTCCATCCTAGGCCTCCTCCAGCATCACAACAATGCCACCCGGAAACTGGAGGAACAGCACCTCATATTCCGCCTTAGAATCCTACAACTCAATGGTCTCAATGTGGACTTTAAGCTTCAAAATCTCCCCACCCCCAACCACATCCCTTAGACCAGCCCCCCTTCTCATCCCTGCCTCCTTGACCTGTCCATCTTCTCTCCCACCTATCCACCCCTCCCTCCTCACTGACCAACTCCCATCCTCACTTCCTACCTTCACTCATCTTTACTAGCTTCATCCCCGCCTCCTTGACCGGTCCATCTTCTCTCCCACCTATGCGCTCCACTATCCACCTTCTATCACCATCCCCCCTTTCTATTTATTTCAGAGCCCCCTTCCCCTCCCCACTTTCTGAAGAAGGGTCCAGACCCAAAACGTTAGCTTTCTTGCTCCTCTGATGCCGCCTGGACTGCTGTGTTCCTCCAGCTCCGCACCTTGTTATCTCAATTAAGTTAATCCTTTGAAAGAAATTGACTGGACTTTGTATTATGGTTAATAATGAAACAAGTGAGCGCAATGTTGGCACTGAATTTTCAAGCAGGTAGGGTGAAGAATGCTAATCGTTTATTAGAACATGCAATCTCAGACTCCTGTTGCAGTTGCCTTTTAGAAGACGAGGAATGAGGAATTAGTATTTTGAGTGCAATTCTGGTTTTTAGCTGAAAGAAAACCAATGAGACCAAAGAATGACCTTGTAGAAATTAGCGGTTTCTTCAGTGTTACAAGTTAACAAAGCAAGCATTACTTGATGTGCTAGGACCATAATGTAAACAAGTCAATTCATCACAATTCATTTTTCTCAGGGGCTTGAACAGAGGTAGCGACTTTTTTCTAGAATGTATAAACATTTAAGGGTAAAAAAAACGACTGACATTAATTTAATTTTTGTTTAAGAGCTCCAATCAAGTTCCTAATAAGAAGCTCCATGCTATGGGACATACACACCATTTTTTTGGATTTTATTCTAAAGGAAAACTAACTGCAAAAATGACAGACAAAAACAAAGTTGCTGGAAAAGCTCAGCAGGTCTGGCAGCATCTGTGGAGGAGAAAACAGAGTTAACGTTTCGGGTCCGGTGACCCTTCCTCAGAACTGATGGTGGCTGGGAAAACGTCAGTTTATATGCAGAAAATAGGGAGGTGAGTGGGGTAGGGAGTAGACGATAGGATAGAGCCGAAAGAGAGCGGAAGACAGTTGGACAGACAAAGGAGTTGCTAACGATCAGGCTGGGAGGGTGAATAGTTGTTAATGGGGACTGTTAGGGACTAACAACAGGGGGTGTGTAATGGCAGGCTATGTGGTAACAAGGCCTGGTGTGTGGGGTGGGGGGGGCTAGGACATGGGAGAGTTTAGGCCCTAAAATTATTGAACTCAACATGGAGTCCGGAGGGCTGTAGGGTCCCCAAGCGGAAAATGAGGTGTTGTTCCTCCAGCTTGCGCTGGGCTTCACTGGAACACTGTAGCAAGCCGGAGACAGAGATGTTGGCAGGGAGCAAGGTGGTGCATTGAAGAGGCAGGCAACAGGTAGTTCAGGGTCTTTTTTGCGAGCAGAATGTAGATGTTCTGCGAAGCAGTTGCCAAGTCTACCCTTCATTTCCCCAATGTAGAGCAGTGAATGCAATAGACTAGATTCTGGGAAGTGCAGGTGAAGTGTTGCTTCACCTTGAGGGTATGTTTGGGCCTTTGGATACTGGGGAGGGAGGAGGTAAATGCGCAGGTGTTGCACCTTCACTGGTTACAGGGGAAGGTGCCGTAGGGCTGTGGGGAGGTGTTGGGGGTGAAGAAAGTATGGTCCAGGGTGTCCCGGAGGGAACGGTCCCTGCGGAAGGCGGACAAGGGAGGGGAGGGGAATGTGTGTCTGGTGGTGGCGGAAATGGTGTCTGATGACTTTCCGGATGTGGATGCTGGTGGGATGGTAGGTGAGGATAAGGGGAACCCTATTGCTGTTGCGGGAGGGAAGGGGTGAGGGCAGAAGTGCGGGAGATGGGTCGGACCCGACTGTCGACAACAGAGCTGGGGAATCCTCGGTTGAGGAAGAATGTGGACATTGTGGAGGCTCCCTTGTTGAAGCTGGCCTCATCTGAACATATGCAACGGAGACGGAGGAACTGAGAGAATGGGATGGAGTGAGGATGTACAGTCCAGGTAGCTGTGGGAGTCGGTGGGTTTGTAATGGATATTAGTGGCCAGTCTATCCCCAGAAATGGAAACAGAAATGTCGAGGAAGGGACGGGAGGAGTCAGAGGTAGACCAGGTGAAAGTGAGGGCAGGGTGGAAATTGGAGGCGAAATTGATGAAGTTTTCCAATTCTCGATGAGAGAGGGAAGAGGCACTGATGATATCGATGTATTGGAGAAAGAGTGGGGGCCAGAATAGGACTGGAACAAGGAATGTTCCACGTAACCCACGAAGAGACAGGCATAACTAGGGCCCATGCGGGTGCCCATGGCAACTCCTCTTACCTGAAGAAAATGAGAGGAGTTGAAAGAGAAGTTGTTGAGGGTGAGGACAAGCTCAGCCAAGCGGAGGAGGGTGGTGGTGGTGGGTGGGGACGGTTCGGGTCTTTGCTCCAGGAAGAAGCGGAGAGCCCTAAGACCCTCCTGGCGGGGAATGGATGTGGAAAGGGATTGCACATCCATGGTAAAGAGGAGGTGGCTGGAGCCGGTAAACTGGAAGCTTTGAAACCGGCGTAAGGCATCAGATGAATCATGGATGTATGTGGGTAGGGATTGGACTGGGGGGAGAAGATTGAGTCAAGGTAGGAAGAGATGAGTTCTGTGGGGCTTGAGCAGGCTGAAACAATGGGTCTACCTGGACAGTCCTGTTTGTGGATTTTTGGCAGGAGGTAGAAACAAGCTGTGCGGGGTTGGGGGACTATTAGCTTGGGAGCAGATGGGGGGAGATCACCGGATGAAATGAGATCCGTAACCGTAGTGGATACAATGGCCTGATGTGCCATGGTGGGGTCATGGTCCAGGGGAAGGTAGGTGGTGGTATTGGAGAGCTGGCACTCAGCGTCTGCAAGGTAGAGGTCAGTACGCTAGACAACAACAGCACCACCCTTATCGGCAGGCTTGATGACAAAGTTAGGGTTAGATCTGCAAAAATGAGAGTTCCCTTTTCTCAAAGAATGAGGCAAGTTTGTCCATTGCTCAATTAATTTAATATCTCAACAATTTATTAAAATTGGCATACATCCTTCTTAGTGGCTTGGTTCAGACTGAATTTTTCATGCAAGTCACCAAACAGCAGACTCAAAATTCACTGCATCAAGTCCCAGTTGCAGTCTTAGTTATTGTTATCAAAATATAAATCACTATCCATCTGTGATGGGCAGCTCATGCTGATGTGGTATATTGAAGATTATGACAATGTTGCAGCTTCAAATTGTGGCTATGAATATTTTTGAAGGTTCTCAAATAACTGTGGCCATTCTACTATTAAGTATTAATAATCCTAACTGTCTTTGTCAAAAAGATAAAGTACACGTTCAAAGACAATCCTGCATCAACAATAGTTTTACTATTTATATTGACGTCGGTATTATCCAATGACATATACTCGTTATGTTGCAAAGAGTACTCATTCGAGTTTTGAATATTTTGGAATGTTTCCATAATATCAAATTGCATATTGAGTTCTAAGCCCAGATTAGACGCTGACCCACCTTTGGTCCCATAGTTACAGCCACAGCATCGGCTAGAAGATCAACCCCTTTCAACATCATAGCCCGAGCTTCGGATCCGAATTTTACATCTTTGGCGTAAGCTCGTGCAAGATGAGGTGCAAGTAGACGAGATACAGGCCTTACCTGGCGTAGAACGGTTGGCAAACGGAGCATTATCTGCAACGGAGAAGAGAAATAATATTGATCAACCTTTAAACTACACGTTAATTAAAAAAAAAGTATGGTGTCAGTAACATGGGCCTCCCCACATGTCGCCAGGGGACACACGTCACAAGGTCAAATTAAAGTACTGCAAAAATCCGCAAAATAATGAGAAATGCAAAAAAAAACTAATAATATGCCTCAAATTAGACTAAGAGACACTTCAGGTCTGTAAAGACAACATGCAATTGCCAGTCTGTCTGAAATGAGATATCCAGCATTGGAACTCTGATTCCTCGGCTTCATTCATTGTCTTATTCTATTAGCATAGAAGGAAACGCCTGCAGCTTGCAAAATTTTTCAAAAATATACGAACCGAACCGACTTCTGCATAATACCACTTACTGAGTTGTTTATTTAGAAAAACAAGTAGTAAATAAGACAGTGATAGCCCTAACTTCAGCCAAATTCCGCAGCTACGCAAACTACACAACCGCCAGGACTGAGCCCAAGCCTCACTCGGAGAACACGTGGGTTTGCAGCGGGGAGAAGTCTCCGCCCGCCCCTTACCCTGGATACTCTAACACCACAAACACGCTCAGGTACAGCTACTAAAACGTTTCCACAAGCAAATAACCACCTACTCACTACCATCAATGGATGTCCCAGCACCAGACTCATGCGATTTAGTAACAACTTGTCACTAAAAGCAGGCACTCGGAGCAGTTCACATACAGCTTCAGGGGTTCGGGTTCCAGAAACTTCCAGACGCTTAACGTAGGTTGGGTCAAAGTGCACACTTCTATTGTGCAATAATTTTATTTTTTAATTTCTTCTCTAAAATTGCAATCAAACTTACTTTGGGTGTTTGTGAGTGTAAAATGCTGCCAAAGTGTGCTCAGGTGTGGATTTCAGTTTAGAAAGTGTCTCTGAAATGTAACATTCCTCTGACGTTCGAGGTCATGTCTTCGGGTTCGAAGGTATTTCCTCACGTGGAGAGGCTGCCATAATTGCTGCTGTAGGGAGGTGTCTTATTTCTAGTGCTTTCTGGAAGTGGTAGTAGGCATGGTAAGCTTACATTTTCGTTTATAATATACAGAATAAACCGATTTGCGTATTGTTCTTGATAAGTATTTTTGTGACTTTTTGATGTTAAAATGGTAAGTTGCGTTGTTTTAAATCAAGTTGAGCATCTGCTGGATACAAAATAATTTATCGAATTTTATAGCTCAGTGCAAACACGGAATGTGATCCTTTTGAAATATTCTTACTCTAGAAGGGAAATGATTCGGCAGGCCACCGATTGGTTACAATCCTGATGAATGAATGGACAAATGTGCTTGTGACCTGTCTCGCTATTACAGATCAGTTTGTAACAAAAGTATTGTCGATTGAAGAACTTGACACATTTATTACTATGTAACCACACCGATATTTGGATAGAAATGATGATCTGTTACGTGCAACTTATTTAACGATTTTTAGATTTGATGTTGAGGACAGTTTCAAGGTCAAATGAGCTTGATTTTTAAATGTCCTCAACATAAATGTTGAGAAATAATATTTTCCATATTAATGTCTTCAGCCGATGTTTTACACCTTTTTAAGGTAATATGTTACATTTTCAGCATTTTGATCATGCTTTATTATTTCTAATGATGTTACATTTAGAAGCCAGCTATATACATTCATAATAGCTGTGAAAACTAAGCTAACAGTCTGAGAACAGTTTATCTAGTTATTTGTAACAAAAAAATTCAGATGTCACTTTTCCTCTCAAGATTCATTTTGGGTTGACCTTTTTATTTGTAGATCTCAGAAGTGGTAAAGCTTGCAATATGTGGTTTGTAACCTGTCGGTTAATAGGTAACTGAAATGTTTTATTTTAACAGGCAGGACAGGCGTTTAAGAAGTTTCTGCCCCTTTTTGACCGAGTTTTGGTGGAAAGGGTGGCAGCAGAGAAGGTAACAAAAGGTGGCATCATGCTTCCAGAAAAATCCCAGGGTAAAGTGCTTCAAGCAACAGTTGTAGCAGTTGGACCTGGCAGCCGAGTAAAGGTAGTCTTCTGAAAATAAAATTCTAATCAACTAAATGCTTGTGATTATTACATTAACAAAGTCTGACCCAATGGATTATATTTCTATACTGTGTTCCAAAGTGGCCTGCTGTTTTTTTTAAATTAAGTTTAGGTATAATTAGAAAGCCAAACTCTACTTCTTCTGGTAACTTTTTCCTTATCTGTGAATTTGCAGCGAGTGCAAATTTCTGTATGGTGCATTATAAACTTTGGTTAGAGCACTGTTCACAAATAATAATTTGTGGATCATTTGCATTTTTATTTCAGAATGGTGACATTCACCCCGTTAATGTAAAAGTTGGTGAAACAGTTCTACTCCCAGAATATGGAGGGACTAAAGTTGTCTTGGATGATAAGGTTGGTACTATTGTCTTAGTAATTCTTTTGACTGGTTAGATATTGTTTTCTGTCTCTTGATGATTTTTGTTTTTCTTCCTCAGGACTACTACTTGTTTAGAGATGGAGATATTCTTGGAAAATACACAGCATGAATATTGGATGTTTCTTTCAGTTTTAAGAAACTGGCCATTCCATGAAGTTGCTGTCTTTTTGTCTCAGCCTGTAAATACCACTTTTTGAGCTTTGGTACAATAAATTCAATGTTAAACACACAACTTTCTGTTTTACTGTGATCAATCTCATTGTTAGTTGAATTTTCCAATAATAAACATAAAATTATGAATCTAAACTAGTCAACTTGTTTTAGAAGTGATTCATTTCACTTTGAAAATTCCAACTTTTTGAAAGGGTGGCAGTAAAATCACTTGGTAAATGTGCCATGGACATCTGGAAAATGCGACTAAGACCGTTAATGTGACTAAAATGATCTGCAGAAATACTAGTTCATTTTGCATGAAACACACAAGTATTTCAATACATTCTAAGTGAGGAATTTTCTTTATCATTACTCATTTTTAAAATCCTCATTCTGTACTGCACATCCAAGACCTATATATAAGATGCTCATTCTTTACATCCTTCAGCTTTGCCACCTCATTGAAAACACCAACAATCACAATCTCACTGCTATTTCTCCTCCTCTTCCTATAACCTTGTTTAAAGGCAGTCCTTTATGTTGTCTTGTGACCTGTTTCCATCATTTAAAATTATATATGAGAACATCTGTTTGCTGCTTTTTCTAATTGCTCCCAGCTCCCTTCTACCCTCACTTCCTTCCAGGTATTACCTGGAAGAAACTCCAATTAAAATGCTATTTTCAGCTGCTCATTGGCCTTCTGTTGGCTGTGATACTTCATCATCTTTTGATCTGTGCGCTTGCTCTGTCGCCTCCCCTGTTGATTATTCTTACCTCCATAATGTACTTTCTCCCCGGTCATTTAGCCCCAGCTTTACTTCAGTTCAAGGGGTATTTACTTTGGTACATGTGGTGCACACCTGGTTTGGCCATTCACTGTCAGGCTAGATTTAATCATACGAAACATTATTGGATCTTGCTCGCTTATACTAAAATTGCTCCATACACCAGGATCATCCTGAAATATAAGGATATATAGTTGTTTATTCATCAATGGCTTTCTTAAAGCTACACCTGAAACAATATCTGTAGCCCTTTTAATGTAATGAAACATTAAAGGTGTTGGACAGCAGCATTGTTTTAAGAAAAACAGGACACAAAGCTACATGAAATTAAATGAACAATTGATCAAAGTGGGAGGCTTTGAGGAGTGTCTCAAAGAAGGAAAGTGAGGTAGAGAAGTGGAGAGGTGTACTTAATTTACTTGACCTTTTTGGACATGTTCATGACGTGTCTGGGGCAGATGGGACTTGAAGCCAGGTATGTTGGACCAGAGATGGGGGCACTACCATAACAGCGCTTTGTGAATTCAAATTTCACCAACTGCCATGGTGGGATTTTAACCCATGTTTCCCAGAAAATTAACTTGGAGAGTCTGGATTACTTGTCCAATGACATCACTGCTGCCTCTCTGTTACATATGTTTTCATTTGCATTAAGTCCTGTCCTTCTATTACTCCTCTGTTCATGAGTGGATGATAGATAATCAGTCTGATAATATGGCAACAATTGAAGTGTGTTAATAGAACTGGGTGTTATCAGGCTACATGTAAAAAATATTGCTTTGTCTTCAATTGATGTTGAAAAAAGCAGCATGTAGATGAGAAATGGGAAGGCGTTGTCAAAGATAGATCCTAGAAAAAATGAGAGATAATGTTGTTGGAGCAGGAAGAGAAGCCATTCCAAATGATAAGCAAAACCAGAAATTGCTGGAAAAAACAAGGCAAGTCTGGCAGCATCTGTGGAGAGAAAGCAGTTAACATTTCAGGTCCAGGGATCCAGTGACCCTCCTTCAGAATTTGTTTCATTTCTAAAGAAGGGTCACTGGACTCAAGAGTTAACTCTGCTTTCTCTACAAAGATGCCAGACCTGCTGAATTTTTCCAGCAATTTCAGGTCTTGTTTCTGACTCCAGCATCCACAGTTCTTTCGATTTTCCATTTTGAATGATTCTCTCGTTATGTTTAGATAAGAATGGAATCATTAGAGAACAGTTTCAATCTGCTGAGTAACCGTGCAGAGATGTTGGAGGAGGGTGATGTCGGAGGTTGCAGAAGGGGTGGAAACCTAATTGGAGCAATCAAAAAATTTGGAATGAATTTGGCCTTCGAGGACTTCAGAAAGGAAAGCAGGTTGGAGATGAATTGATAGTTGGCAAGAATTTTTTTTGAAGTCAGAGTAATTTAAAGCAGACTTAAAGGTGGAAAGGACAACATCTGAAGAAAGAGAGAACTGATATTCATAATATTAGCTGATGTGGATGCCAGGAGGGGTAATCAATTTGAACAGGAGGTAGATCTCATGGACAAAATGAATTCAGTTGAAGGCATTAGGAGACATGGCAGAAAATAGAAAAGATGAGAGTTCAGTGCTAGGGCACAGGGAAGCATTTAAGGAAGTTTGGTCAGGTGGGCTATTGGAAGTGGAAGTGGAAAACACTGCAGAACAAGCTGGTTAGATTGTCTCATCAGTGACAAGATTATTATAATTCTCATTCAAAGTGAAGATAGGAGTGAACAAGGAAGAGGGGCTTAGGAATACAGTCTGCAGTACAGAAAAGAAGCGGGCAGTACAGAAAAGAAGCTGAAATCTGGCTTCTTAGAATGACCCAGGAATAGTGACAAAGTTTAACTGGCAACAGTAGGACCACTAGTGATTCAATCAGATCTGGCAGTGATGGCTAAGGCAGTTATCTGCTGTTTTAGTTGTGTTCCTTGGATTTAGAGATGTGGTTCATTTTGAGGGACCAGCCACGGTGAAAGGGCATATGGTTTAACAGTGACTAGGACACCAAAGGTGGGGATGAGGGTGCAGTTGAGTAAATCAGTAGTTGCAGAAATGTTAATAGAGAGTTAAAGGCTTGATGTTTCAGATTTTGAAATTGCAGTTGTAAGTAAAATTGCTGGATAGATTTTTCCAGAGACAGATATGGAAGGAGGTTGGTTTTGAGGTATGGAGGGAATGTGAATGGTGAGTGGTGCAAGCAAGTGATTAGAGATAGCCTATCTGTAATTGATATGATAGTACTAGTAGGACAGCATGAAAATGACAAGGTCAAGGGAGTGACCATCAAACTGGGTTAGAGTGTCACTTGGAAGGACTGAGAATAAAAGGGCAGTAAATATTAGAGGAGAGAGAACGTAAGTTCAGATGGACAAGTGTGAG